TGGAGCCCAAGCCCATGCAATACTGTCAATGGCACACCCCTCCCCCGGGCCAGATCAGTTGCGGTCAGGGCAATCCACATCCCTTTGTTACATGTAGCTGCAGATATGCCCCAGCCATGACTGATTGGCCCAGGAGGGGGGAAGTGTCACTAACAGAGTTGCGCAGGCCACAGTGAACTCCAGCGAACTTTGTTTGCATCAAGCCCCCACACATAGCTACTCCTGAGTCCCTTCTACTTCATACCTGTAGGACCTACGAGCACTTCTATCCCCCGATAGACATATTTCTGTAAGACGTGGAAGAGAAGATGTCCCCAGCGCCAACTGCCCCAACCACAGAGGAGCTCACCATCTAATGGTACACATCAGAGGATTCACAGGGAAATTATGATTTGTTGAGGTAACATGACCCCCCTCCAATCCACAGAGAGTGCTGGGACCTCTCATAATAAGGATATATTATGAATATTACCTCCTGCTCACACACTCTGCAGCCTCACACCCCTAGATGAATGATTCCTGAGCAGAAATTTCCCCCTCCTTCCTACGCTGGTCTACAACAAAATGGCCGCCATATCCCCTACTTCAATTACAAGGTTTCCTCCTCTCACTCAGCAGACGGTCGCCCTCTAGTGGCGGCTCTGGAATAAACGCGGCTCTGTCCCCGCTTATCTCGGCATCACTATGGCAACAAGGAAACCGCAGGGCCGTGGAACGCACACAGCGGAAGTGTGGGAACCACAGGGCGGAAGTGACGGCAGGCTGCTGCTTAATGTTGTAAATGTGCAACACTTTAAACATTTCTCCATATCATATATGTCAGGTTTGGTTTATCAGTAAAGGAAAACGGGACCATAAATGGCAGATGATCATCCATGAATGAACTCATTCGTTTAGAGTTAACTTTAAAACAATTTCTAGCATGCGCTACCCAAAAAAACGTCCATAGGCCTGTACAGGTCATCAATTTGGAGTTAACTTTACATAATGGCCCTATGATTAATCTTTTTTTCACTCAACTTTATAAGCATGAAGGGGGCTGACGAGCCTTTATATAAAAGTAATAATGAAATGACAGGTCCTCTTCATTGATACATCAGGGGTCTATTATATCTCCTGATGGCTTCCTAGTACTGAAGGTGGAGGACAAAGTGTCCCGGTTCGCCTGTATTCCTGGCCAGGATCTGAACCCGGAAGTTCTTAAAGCTGAGCGCTTCCGGGTTCACACCACAGAGATATAAATCAGTGATAAAATACTCAACATTCCTTGGGCGAATTCCTCTGGAGTTGCAGGCGAGACCTGAGAGAGGCCTACATCACCGTCCTATACATGTGATTACTCCTACATCAAAGCCAGGAGTTGCCCGTACAACCTTACAACTGCTGTTGCAGCTATGAGCTTATTTAAAGTGCAACTCATGGTGTCACTCAGCCCCGCTCATGCTTTCTACACCTTTGACAGTATCAGGGCACAGAGGAAGCATTCACCTCTAGTCCCAGCTGGCACTGGGGAAGGTGAAATCGATATACAACAAAGGCTTTAATATCACTTGAAAAGACCCCGTTGGCCTCTAAAACAAAATCCTACCAGAAGGTTCCTGCTGGAGAAGAACTATTGTTCTCATCTCTTCAGCAGCTTGGGTCTCCTACCTTCCCTCAATTCCAGTGCTGCAGTCTTCACAAGAGTTGGAGAAGCCAGGAGAAGTCTTGATAGAAACCAGAAGAAACCTTGTTGGCCTCTAAAAAAAACCCTACCAGGTTTCTGCTGGAGGAAAAACTGATATACCCATCACTTTGGCGGCCTGGGTCTCCTACCTTCCCTCTATTCCAATGCTAAAGCCTCCAGAAGACTTTCCAGTAGAAGTCTTGCTGGAAGCCAGAAGAAACCCTGTTGGCCTCTGAAAAAGTCCCACCAAAAGGTCCCTGCTATTGTGCTCATCTCTTCGGTGGCCTGGGTCTCCTTCCTTCCCTCTACTCCAATGATGCAGCCTCCAGAAGACTTTCCAGTAGAAGTCTTGCTAGAAACCAGAAGAAACCTTGTTGGCCTCTGAAAAAGTCCTACCAGAAGGTTCCTGCTGGAGAAAAGCTATTATATTCATCACTTAGGTGGCCTGGGTCTCCTACTTTCCCTCTAATTCTATACTGCAGCCTCTGTAAGACTTGCCAGGAGAAGTCCTGCTAGAAACCAGAAGAGACCTTCTCAGTCTCTAAAAAAATCCTACTAGAAGGTCCTTGCCACAGAAGAACTATTATACCCATCACTTTGGCGGCCTGGGTCTCCTACCTTCCCCCTATTCCAATGCTGCAGCCTCGTAAGACTTGCTAGCAGAAGTCTTGCTAGAAACCAGAAGAGACCTTGTCAGCCTCTAAAAAAAGTCCTACCAGAAGGTCACTGCTGGAAAAGAGCTGTTGTGCTCATCTCTTCGGCAGCTTGGGTCTCCTTCCTTCCCTCTATTCCAATGCTGCAGCCTTCATAAGACTCGCCAGGAGAAGTCTTGCTAGATGCCAAAAGAGACCTTGTGGGCCTCCAAAAAAGTTCTACCAGAAGGTCCCTGCTATTGTGCTCATCTCTTTAGCAGCCTGGGTCTCCTTCCTTCCCTCTATGCCAATGCAGCCTCCAGAAGACTTTGTAGTAGAAGTCTTGCTAGAAGCCAGAAGAGATGGTATCAGCCTTTAAATCCTCCCACCTGTATCTTGGGTCCCTTTGACTCTTCCGCTCTAGATGATCTGACATCCCGGGCAGATTCAAGATCACTGTTCATTATTGGTCAGAGAATGGACATCTGAGGTCCCCCCCCCCCCCCCCC